GAAGAGGTATGTTTGAAAAAGAGTCAAGAAGGTTGCCCAGAAAGTGACTTGTTCACTGGTAAACATTGGACACAGGTAAACAAGGCAGTGAGATTTGAATGTAGGGGTAATGAAATACACTTATCCAATCTAAATATTTATTTTTTATTCATCATGTGGGATGAGAAATGTTTGCTTCAAAAATAGATTTGAAGTTGAATTTGAGGACAAGTGGTTAAATGTTTAATCACATCATTCAGCAGAAATCCTGTGGCATGAAACACAGGACACAGGAAGTGATTTCCAGCCCATTCACAAATGTGCTCTCTGGCTGGGCAGGGGGATGGGGTAATGGAAGAGGTGGGGCACATTGCCTGGGAGTGTGCTTTGATGGACAGGTGAGGCTGGAGAAAGAACTGAACACCCAGAGCCTGAGTTCATAGTAAGGATGTGATTCCTTTTTTTATACATGGATTCTGAATTGTTTTGGTTTTGCTTTTTTTTTTTTGTTTTGTTTTCTACATTTGATTTGCCATGAGTGGTGATTAATTATATGATTCCCTTTATAATCTTAATACTGCTTTATGCTTACTAAATTACCTTCTGTGAATTTTCATAATTCCAATTAACTACTTGGAAATTACTGGTGCTATTTTTATATGAAGATGAATAATGGCTTCTAGTAAGAGCATTTTTTTCTTTCTTTTTTAAATTTTTATTTGATTTAATTATTAATGGAAACAACTGAGATCATCATAGTATTGGCAGCTGTGCTATAGGTTATTCAGATTTGGTTTTTAAAGGCAATTTGTGTCAATTGTGTTTTTTTAATGCATTTAACATCTGAAAATCACTTTTGTAAATTTCCTTTTAAAAATGCTAATTTTCAGGGATAACAGGAACATAGCTCAACATCATAAAGGGTATCCACACTAATCCCCAGGCCAACATCATTCTAAACAGAGAAAAATTAAAGGCATTGCCTCTAAAACCTGGGGGGTGGGAGGAAGGGGGAAGCCCTCTTTCACCACTTCTATTTAACATAGTTCTTGAAACACTGGCCAGAGCAATTAGACAAAAGAAATCAAAGGGATATGCATAGGAAAAGAAGAACTTAAATTAGCACTATTTGCTGGTGATATGGTTCTATATATACAAGACCCAAAAAGTTTCACCAAAAAACTTCTAGAAATAGTAAGTGAATTCAGTAAGTGAAAGTCGCAGGATATAAAACCAGTACCCATAAATCAAAGGCATTTCTGTATATCAGTGACAAATCCTCTTAAAGGGAAATGAGAAAAACTACCTCATTTACAATAGCCTAAAAAAATACTTGGGAATCAACAAAAGAGGGGAAAGATCTATACAATGAAAACTAAAGAACCCTAAAGAAAGAAATCTAAGAAGGCCTTAGAAGATGGAAAGATCTACCTTGTTTTTGGATAGGCAGAATTAATATTAACAAAATGACCATAATACCAAAAGCACTATACAGATTTAATGCAATTCTGATCAAAATCCCAATGGCATTCCTCATAGAAATAGAAAAAGTAGTCATGAAATTTATCTGGAAAAATAAGAGACCCAGAATAGCTAAATTAATCCTCAGAAAGAAGAGTGAAGCAGATGGCATCACTATACCAGACCTTAAACTGTACTACAGAGCAATAGTGACAAAACATCATAGTTTTGGCACCAAAACATACTGGTAGACCAATGGTACAAAATTGTGGACACAAAGACTAACCCACAAAATTAAAATTGTTTTGTATTAGACAAAGGTGTCAAAAACATACATTGGAGAAAAGATAGCCTCTTCAACAAATGGTGCTGGGAAAACTGGAAATCCATATTCAACAAAATGAAATTAAACTTCTATCTCTCACCCTGTACAAAACTCAACTCAAAGTGGGCCAAGGACCTAGGAATTAAACCAGAGACCCTGTGTCTAATAGAAGAAAAAGTAGGCCTAATCTTCATCATGTGGGATTTGGCCCCAACTTCCACAATAAGACTCCTATAGTGCAAGAAATAAAACCAAGAATCAATAAATGGGATGGAATTAAACTAAAAAGTTTCTTCTCAGCAAAATAAATAATCTGTGAAGTGAATAGAGAGCCAATATCTTGGGAGCAAATTTTTTTCCACACATCAGATAGAGCACTAATCTCTAGGATATATAAAGAACTCAAAAACCTTAACTCCCAAAAAAACCAAGTAACCCAATCAATAAGTGGGCAAGGACCTAAACAGACTTCTCAGAAGATGGAACAATACTTTAAAATAGCAGTTGCTGTTTAACCACAGATGTATAAACCTTAATTTTTCTAAGACTAGTTGCTCTAGAGAATAAGACAGACACAATGTAATTAGTATTTTTTAAAGTTTTTGTCACTTTAACATATAGATCAAACTTTGGTTTATATCAATACATTAATATTTGTTCTTACGGAACAACTGTGAACAGTTTTAACTGTTTATGTTACTTATATATAACCAATTTAGTTATACATAAACCTTTTTATATTTATCCTTTATTTATAGACTTTACATTCCTTAATTAGACCCTCTTATTATTTACTTTGATATATTGCAATTATACTTTGCCACATAAAGTCTTTTTTACCTGGAAATTTATTTTTCTTTTACTAAATAGATCTTTATATTTAGAAACTTTTAATATTTTTTAATCCATTGATCCCTCTTTCTGTTTATACTTTGAAATAAACCCTTATATTTTTTTTTAATTTATATAAATTACTCTATTTAAATAAGATGAGATACTTTGTTATTTACAGTATTCTAATTGAATTATAGTTGAAACCTTTGGACCTTTGTATATAGAATTATACCAGTTGGGACATTAACTTTTAATACCTTCTTTTTTTATCTCTAGCTTTTACTTTTGACCTTTTTTTTAGAGCTGTTGGCAGCCATTTACATTTTAATGCAAGCTTTAGTGAGCACAGTTAGAAACCTTTTAAACATTTTTTAACACTAGAAACAAACTGAGGTAGGTCTGGGGTTGTGGCTCAGGGGTAGAGCACTGGGTCCTGAGCACCACATATGCATACATAAAATAAAGATACTGTGTCCAACTGCAACTTTATATATATATAAAACAAACTGAGGTAGAAACTAACACAAAAAAGGGAACAAACAATAACAAACAACAAACAAGACAAAATCACAAGACAGACAATAAAACACACAACAGGTAAGGCACCAAAGACAAATTTAACTGACAGAAAACCAGGCTCAGACCAGAGGACAGAGTAAAAACCAGACTTGGAGCAAAGGACTGAGTAAAAACCTGACTCAGAGCAGAGGACTGAGGAAAAAGCAGACCAGAGGAATAAGCAAACTCTTGCTAGCCCTGGACTCAGAAAATAATGCCGCATCCAGCTTTCCCAAGCCTCTCCAGATGCGTATCCACACAGACCAGACTTACCTTCCCAGGGAAACACAGACAACTCTTGGTAGTTTTAGGTGGTGGGGGTCAGGAGTGAGGAACATCTTATCAGAGGCCTTCCCCTAGGTGATCTCTTTGCCAAGGTCCCTCCCTTGGTGGTCCTGAGTGATCTGAAGAATGCTAGAAAAGTAGGTCTTGGTGGGACCTCCAGATGTTGTGGGGCAGGTCACTCAGAAAACACACCAAGTCCCAGTTTTGTCTAAATTGAAGAGTCTTTATTTAGCCAGCTGGCAACTGCTCCCCACAGGATCCATAACTATCTCTGCAAGGAACAGCCCCAAGCCTGAGCATTTTAGGGTGTTTAAAGACAAAAACTGCAAAACCCACATAGGGGTTGACATAGCTGCAAGCAAGCAGGTACAGAAGCTGAACGGGGCAGTTAGAGAGACAATGCAATGGGTACATTGGTATTTCCCATGGGACCTTCCAGGTTGGCATTAGGAGCAAGCAAGCAGAAGGGAAGTGGGTCAAAATGACCCTAGTTGAGTACAAGTTAGAGAGTGGTTACTAACATCTATGCAATCAATCTCTGGCAGGGTACATGCCCAAGAAAAATGGAAATCAAAGAGAACAATTTTACACTGTATAAGAATTGCCATTTTGTGTTGCCAAGTATGTCATACTAGATAACTATTAATGGGTACAGAGGCTGGGGCTTTCCCATGGGAGAAGCATTTCTTACATGACATGAAGTCTCAGGGTAAAATGGAGTCTGTTTGCTCACTGCCTATATAGCCTGGCCCATAACACTAGGAGCCTCTTGAAGCTAATTATTTTTGCAAGTATTAAAACTAATAATTAAAAGAAAAAATGGCTTTTTAAAGAGTTCCAAATACAATTCTTTGTCACAAGACAAGGGAACATAGTCAGAACAATAAGGCACATCGGGTACTAGAGGAGAAGACTGAAAGTCACCAAGAGGCCTTATCACCAGTAGACACTGAGTCATTTGACCTTGGGACACCTGAAATATGTAAAGTACAAGTTGGTATGAGTTATAAAATCCACACAAGGGTCTGCAAAATTAGAATGAAAACAAAATTAGAATGAAAGCACAGTAGTAATATCAGATATGTAGAAATGATAAATATCAAATTCAGTACATTATTTACATTAATATTACTTTATGTAAAAAAAGTTGTAACAAAAACAGTACAATATAAATCAATTCATTGTTCATGCTGTATTAATTATAGCATTTCCTATAAAACACATGTAATAATTATTATACTTATGCTTAGAAATTGACATATGTGATTAATTTTACTAATAAATATATTACTAAAAATCTAATTACATACGTAGATTATATATACATCTGTACGTCAGCACTGTTCTAGAGAGTTCCCAGTCTGCATGGAGAGAATCCATACAGAGGAACAGAGATTGCCATGCTCACTTCTTTCTGGAGGAGACCATCTGACACACTCTTCCCATGTCCCCCAGAACCTCCTTGTTCCCTCAGGCTGTAGATGCTGGGATTGAGCATGGGGGTGAGGATGGTGTAGAAGATAGCCATGATCTTATCTTCTTCTGG